AAGATACACTGAGCTTTCTGGCCCACATTTTGACGTTTGCTTATTTTCCTCCCATTTACCTGACTAGCTTTTTTTAATGGCCATATGAATAACTCATGAGAGTAAAGAGGATAGAGAAAGATAAAGTAAAACAAACAAGCAGCCAAGGGCAGCAGATAAAAGTGAAAAAGTGGAGGAGATTACAAGAAGATCTGGTTTCACTCCAGACTCCATCAAAGCTCTGCATGACTGGTGAGAATTCACATGAGAAGATTTAATGGTCTAGTTGAACATCAGGGATGAAAGTGTAGATATGTGGCTATAACATGAGCTGTGAAAAAGTTTGAAGTCATCCCCCCAGAGTTTTACGTCTTCTTTCCAAAAAAACAGGGATTCAATCGCTTAAAGTGGTTTTGAGTGATAGTTTTCTGAAGTTTTTTTGTTTGTTTTTAAGTAGAATTTTTGCTGCTTTTACAGAAAAAAAGTCTTCTTGCAAAGTAAATAGATTAGTATGTTTGCTTTTCTTTCCATGTGTGTTACCTTCTTTGAGTGGCAGCACAGTGATTGCCACACTCAGCCTCCCACTGCCCAGGCTGACCAGATGAGGCGTAGCAGTCTGGACCTTCAACCCTTTGCCCGTGTCGATCAGGTCCAAGGGCGCCGACTAGACACAGCAAAGCAAAAAGTATTAGCCTTTACACACCTTTCCTTTTACAGCATTCTCAAAAACATCCTGCAGAACATTTTTTTTTCTAGGCAATACATAAAAGGTGTTAATATGTGTTTTATTTGTTCTCACCTTGTGTTGAGCTGGACACATCTGATCCGACTCAGGCTTAAACATCATCTCAGATTCCTGCACAAACACACATAATTTAAAAAGTGGAAGTACAATCAAAAGCTGTCGACACAGAATTAAAACTAAATACACAAAATGTGGATAAACCAAAGCACACTCCAACAAACTGCTTTTGGCTTAGCTGCCACATGAAAGAAAAACCTCGCTCTGAATGTGATCACACACACACACACACACACACACACACACACACACACACACA